AGTTGTGATTTCAATTGACTATAATTTCAGGTAGTCAAGAATATAGGACTGCTTAGGGAAACACAGACCTTATCATCTTGCTTTTCTGCTTTTTTTTTTTTTTTAAACCTAGTGTCAAAATGGAAAGGAGTAAAGGTTACTCTCTTCTCTGTAACGTGACACTGCATGCTGACTACTATAAGCTGTGCTGAGTCCACTTTAAGAGGGGCATTAACAAAGTAAATGGAGGGCAGAGGACTAAGAAGCTGGAGAGGGCATTTGAAACTGTCGAATAAGAAACATTTGAAGGAAATGGGACTATTTATCCTGTGGAACAGAAGACCTAGGAAAAGGAGAGCAATCTTAATAACTACAGAAGCCCTCAAAGTGAAGTAAATGAGTGAAGTCAGCAGGTAGAGACTTCAGCAAAATGGAGAGTATATTTACCACCTAAGGAAGATTACTACTGTTAGAAATGCGAGCTCTGTATCACTGAATCCTCTAATTTTTTTCCTCAAGAAAAGCCAGAAAGAAATTTTTATGTGAAATCTCCCCATTTCTAAAAGTCCACTCCTAATTTAAGTTTTTGCATAAGCTGGGCAGCCAAATGATACCTGTGCAGGCATCATTTGACCCATGCACACCAGTTTGCAATTTGTGTCTTGGGAAAACATGATGGCTACCTTCCAACATCTGAAGAACTGTCATAGAGAAGAGGCAGAGACTTGTTTTATACTGCCCTAAAAGGTGACAATTACAGAGAGGCCAACCGCACCTCAACAAGGAAAAAGAAAACTAGTCTACAAATTCCAGTGGGCTGCCCAGGAAGGTTCATGTCATTGTACATATTCAAATGGAGACAGGTCAGTAAGTAATAGTGGCCAGATTAAGAATTCTGCACTTATTACCACTGGCCTTGGTCAAATAACTAAACCTCCCTACATCTCAGTTTTCTTTCTTACCTTCCCTTCCCCTCAAAAGAAGAAATAGTGTTAATATTTAGCCTCCTATCTCTCAGAGTTACTGTAAAGATCAAAACCCATGTAACAAAGAAATATATGAAAGTACTGTATGATGGCAAAGAACTACAGTAATTAAGACATTATTGGGGCGCCTGCGTGGCACAGTCGTTAAGTGCCTGCCTTCGGCTCAGGTCATGATCCCAGGGTCCTGGGATCGAGCCCCATGTCGGGCTCCCTGCTCAGCAGAGAGCCTGCTTCTCCCTCTCCCACTCCCCTGCTTGTGTTCCCTCTCTCGCGGTCTCTCTCTGTCAAATAAATAAATAAATAAAATCTT